TACTAGTAGTTGTTATGACAAGATTTGAGATTTTACAGCTACAATATTTGGTAGATTATATTATATTATAAGAATTATAGCATATTATATTAAAAACATTTGTTTAATATTTTTCAGTTGGAATTTACAAATTTCTAGATACTTTTATTAGACATATGCAACATTACCAGAATTCTGATAAACATTAATCTCAGCGCACTCTAACAGTTTAATTATTTTATTAACGTTTTATTGAATAAATATACTCAATATGTGCCTATATTATTTCATTAATAATAGTAATTGAATAAGATATTAAAAAGATGTAAAAAGAGGCGTTAAATATATTTTATAAAAAAAAAAATCAAATATAATACGATAAAAAAAAGTGAAATTAAAATAATACTTCAAGTATCTTTATTCAAAAAGTTCCATAAAACACAATTCTCCGAGCGATCTTGAAGGTATCCTTATGATGTAGACGTACTTTGGACATCTTTTAAGGCAAAAGATACAACATGGCGTTGTATGGAATAATCTCATAATTATAATATCCTACAAATACACTAAAGTACGGATGAAGATACTTTTAAAGTGTATTAAGTATAACAATACATTAAAATGAGAGAACGAAATACAATAGATAGTGTAATGAGAGGCGCAGAAATTGATCAAGGATTTTTACATCGATAACAAGTAGAAAATTGTAGAGATAAAAAAACCAAAATGAGCAAGATTTCCAGCAGCAGTATACATACTTGACGCGCCTATCTTGTTTATAATTCGATTTATACGAATAATTTAATAAACATTTTATTATAATTATGAATTATTTTTCGCAAATTAAAAAAATTTTATATATGTATTTATATATATTGAAGTTATTATTATAGTATTGATATATTCAACATATATTTCATATTCAACATAGATGCACATACAAATATTTTTCTCTATGAGATAAAAAAAAATTTTTAACTCTTAAATTTTTTTACTGTAGTAATAGAATTTGAAATTTATTACAGTACTATTAGCAGTTATTATTCGACATAATATTATTATCTTTGATTAGATTATACTTGATTCTTATGAAAATATTAGAGAAATCTGAATATTACATTATTTTTACTTAATAAAATTTTTAGAAATAATGCACGACACATTTGCGGATTATAAGGACTTTATTACTAAATAGATTTAAATTTTACAGTAATTGCAAAGCATTGCTTTTTCTGCTCAATACAGTCTTTGTATTACATGCCAGGACAAACGTTAGGATTAATCAATGTTAAGCGCTGATTTTCTTGACATTTCAATGTGAATCTTTGCTTAACGTCACAACGCTGAACTTATATGCAGCTAATTTCAGCTTGAAAATTATGTAACGCTCGAAAACACGACGGTGTATCCTTCTCAGTGAGTATTGCCGCGAAAAACTCGTCGTCAAGTAAAATCGAAAAGTAGACTACAAGCACTTTTGTAAGTTGTAGAGCTGTGGTGCCTTCCAAATAATGTTCGGGCCGTTCGCGTTTCCACAACGCGGAATCGCACTCGAAAGGAAATCTCTCAATTCGAGGTTATTAGCCATTTACTTGTTGCGCAACGCCGTAAGCGGCCATCCAACCATGGATGCAATTCGTGGATAAGCGATCCGTGGAAAGCCGCCGATAATTAAAGTTTCCGCGATGCTGATTCAACGCTCGTCCGACGGTTATGCGATTCCCCTCGGCATCCCCTCGATTTAACGTGGTCTATAATCCAACACCTTGGAGAAACAGTAACCGTGTTACTCGACGGTTCGAAAGTAAAAGGACGAATGTCCTATATCTGCGCATGTAGCGTTTCCTCTCTTCCGCCGCTGCTCCGGGTAAATGACATTGATTGTTTCAAGGTATCCATACGATTCAAGGGGATCAATTTTACGAAATATATTCGAGCTTCCCTTATCTTGTAATATTATTTTTGTAATTAAATGTACTCCTAAATACTAAAAATGTACGCAGACAACTCTGAAATCACATTTACGAGAGAATTGTAATTATAATTTGTTTTATATTGTAAGAGAAAATTTGATTTATAGCTTATATGCGTGTATTTTAATATGCATATATTTTATATGTCTTTGTATATCTTGATTCTTGAAATATTCTATTATATATATATGAAATTATAAACAAAATTTCTATTCGTGAATTGTGCTACGAGTCTTATCGTCTGAAGTAAACTTTGCAATACATTCAGACGCTTTCGAGTAAACATTTTCAAATTTTTGTTATTATTGGCTATTATGTTGATAAATCTGTCTAAAATCTGATTTAAAATAGTTTTTCGCCGTGTCTACAATATAGTAGTAAGCCTTAAGCCTAAGTAAGAAATTGACCAATTATGAACAAATACGAAGAGAATAATCATCTATGATTGATCAATTTCTTAGAGCTTAAGTCTCACTACTCTATTATCTAGACACCACACTATTTCGTTACGCTTTTTATTGCTAAACTAGTAAATAACTCCCTACATAAACAAAGTGCCAGCGGAACAGGTGACTCTCCCGACTTTAACAAGCAGCACGCAGTAAACATAATACTGACGTCAACAAAAAAAACAATTGTTGTATGGCTGGTGTGTTACATTTGTCGTACAAATTTTTTCAAGCCTACAGTTATAAAACAAAGAGATTCTTTCTCTCTTCCATCCAAGCTTGAAAAATTTGTCGTACAACAAAACGAAGGAAAACAGACCGAGATTCGATATCTCAAATTTCGTTTTCAATTTAAAAGCAATTTTCTTTCGAAAAATCGCGCGCAAGCATACGTTCCGAGAAAGCCCAGGTCCCATAATTTTACAAAGTTAAAAGTCGTGCAAGATTTAAGATTCTTGCGTCTGGTTCGACAACCTTTTTTTTTTTGATCAATTACACTTGTCAATTAAATTGATTGAACGCTGCACGCGCTCGATTCTCTCAGACGGACGGCCTTCTGCCGCGCGCGAGGCAAAGCCATGTAACGTACGTGATCCGCGTTCGAGAGCTCTGCGCGCCGAGAAAACAGTGCGCGATGGTGCGCGCCGGGCCGCGGGATCCTTCCCCGCGGTCCCACACGTCGAGGCCCGACTTCCCGCGTCGACTCTCGCCACTCGCCGACACCGACGGCCGCCGTCGTTGTGTGTCGCAGTTACGCCGAGTCCGTTCGCGCACTCGCATTAAATTCCGAATCTGCGCCGACGCGCGTGCCTAAACACCACCCGTTCGGTCCATCTCGTCCGCGTCCCGGTTCCCTCCCGCGTTCCTTTTTCGCGCGAGGGATTTTCGGATCGCCGTCACCATCGTCACCGTCACGCGCGCGCGCGATCGGGTGCCGTCTCGTTTGCTCTTGTTCTTCGACAAGAATTAATCTATCGGCGGGGTGTCATCGGGAGAGGAGGATATGCCCATCGTTCGTGTCGCGTCGTATCAATTGTGAGAGAACCCGTGATTCGCGTGTGAGTCCTCAAGATCCCGTCGAGTGACCGAGAGTAATCCGAGATACGTAATATATATAAATATATATATATTACGAATCTGGGGATCGCGGAAATTGACGCGAGTTACGGTGAGTTACGCGGTGCTGCCAGCAAGATACGTGCAAAGTGTGTTCGGGGAGACGCGCTATTACCGCTATTTGTGTCAATCTATTCTTCTTTTACGTTTGATAAACGATGAGGACGTAGAATGAAACAAATAGCACTAATAGCGTCTTTCCAAACGCATCTGTAACGTTACACGGTGATTATTTCATCTTTGCTTAGCATCGGCAATTAATAAAGATGTAATGGTACACTGTGTTACATTGTGTATGCCTTATCTGTGTATGCCTTTTGCTGGAAAGCACCTGAAGTATCGCATTCGAAGGTGCGCATAAGTAAATTTACACCGCGCATTTCAAATTAGAGATTCTTGGGTCAAGGAGAAGACAACGAGAAGGCGGGATTAACAAGGTGCGATAATAACAAGGGAAGAACTTCGAGCATTTCCGCGTCCCACGTAACGAGATTTACGAGATATCGATTGATATCGATATGGAGAAAGTTCACGCGCGTGTCGCGCCATAGTTGCGCGTCGTGCAGGTCGCGCCCCGAAATTCGAGAGTCGCGCGCGTTTCGCGTCGCGAATAGCGAGGCGAGAGTGAAGTATGTGCCTAGCGTGTATCAACGGGTTCACGTGCGTGGAAAAGCAAACGTGTTGTCCTACATTTTCGTGACCACTCGCTTTTGAAATCGAAAATCGCAAGGTGAGGTTAAAGAATTTCCGTCTCGTCGTTGACGAAAGAGTTAACCTTGCTCTTTGTAAAACTCGCCTCAATAAAGCTGTGTTAGTTACGATCGTATAAATGTTGTGAAGAAATAGCGTTTATGAACTCTCCGGAGTTTGTTAATCTTCGATTGACGGTAAAAAAAAATCTATTGAATCCATTTAATTATAAATGTCTTCGTCAAAATAGTCGATCAAATAAAAATAAATTTTCTTTATATTATATCTGCGGATTATTCGTATTAAAATATATTTTATATTTATTCTTTATCTGCGCATGTCATTTTGGTTACGTCAAATTAATTACTGTCTTTTAACATTACTATAATTGAGAGAAAATTGTAGAGACTATTATTTTTTCTGTAAGTTGAACGCTCGAAATTTAATTCACGATTAATAGGTCTGTATTTTTTTTACGATTGAACTACATTATAAAAAGTTCTAAATTTTAATAAATATTTGAACAGCTCTAAGTAAATATTTACTAAATGCAAACATGTATTTATTTGATACAAAATTTATTTGCTACCATTAATTTAATTTCACTATTATTTTTTTATTTAAATATTTACTTATCGTAAGCAATTGTTTACTTAATATTATTAAAAGAAATATACATTAGGACTAAATAATTTTGTTTTAGTGTACTGTACACTTTTTGTACCTAAAGTGAAATTAATATGAAATTTAATTAAAGTACAATTGGTATGATATTATATTTGATATTTGACAAGAATAAAAAAAATTGTAGTGCAGTTCAATGCAGCAATAAATAACAAATAATCTAATGCAACGCGAGCGAGCACAAAACGAAATTAAATACGTTTACTCTTCCCCGTCTTTTCGTCGTAAAAGGCGTGCGACTCTTATTTCTGGCCGCGATCAACGTGTCGCGGTTTTGCGTAACCGGGAGGACGAGTTTTTTTAAACGTTCCTCTTCTTTTTCCTTCTTTCCTTTTTCTTTTTTTCTTTCCCACCTCATTTAATTGAATTCCCTGTCTCTCCGTCCCCAGGCCATCCGACCGGTAGATAAAAAGGTCGAATTTCCTCCAATTCTTTGCATTCTGACATTGGGGTGTCTCCGACGAACAATAAACACCCATGATTCCCAAATTCATTGTTTACACCTTTTTTTTTCTCAAACAATTCTATTTACAATCTTCCAGCTTTTCGTCAGAAGAACAGCAATATCAAACACCGTTGTCAGGGTAAAATTGAGTCAATTTCAGCTTTATTCTTCTATTTTCCCCGAAATGAAAGCCCAGGTAGAATACGAAATCATAATTAAGTCATAATGATATCAGAACGAAGTTGAAGTCATTCTATCTTAAAAATGATCTTATAAGTGACAAATAATAATCACAATGATAATATCCTTGTGATATTATTATGACTTCTGTCTTTTCTGGATTTGGGGGAGTGTCAAATCTTGCGATATTCGACATTTGTGATGCCCGCTATTTTTCGCAAAGATCGTCATGCGCGTTTCTATCTTTCTCTCTACCTTCCTCCTGTCTCCTGATACCTTTGTGCTGTGCAGTGATCATACGGGAATTGATGCATACGGAATCACGCGGAAGCGAGAAAAACGGCTGCCGGAAATCGCGCGCGGGGTGAGGAAGCACGTAACGCCGATCCTTCGAATCCTCAGCTTCCCTCGATTTCTCGCCGCGGGATCGATCAGGGCACATTGTGCATCGTGTACGTGTAAGGAGAGCAATTTGTACAACCCACCTTCCTCCCCCTCCACTCGTCATACCGAAGATCTCGCCGGCAGCGATGGAAACATGAGGACCGTGACAGATCGTGCATCCGATCGACGTAACTCCACTCCTACCGACCATAAATGACGTAAGTACCCTTCATTTCGCCACGCGGCACGTCGCGAAACACGTGGGTCCGAATTCGCGGCACGATCGAGGACCGCCTGTTTCCAAATCGTCTTGTACCAAATCTATATTTCGTAAAAATCGAGGTTACGTATTGTAAATAGCGCAGTTGCTCCGCAATCTTTTTCAAAAGCATTCAGAAGCGATTTTTCGAAACGGAACTCGATCGGCGGCTAATCAATTTTGAAGAAAAACAATAAGTAATAAAAACCGGACATTTAGAAGTTAAGAACGTGTGCCAAAAAATGTTACGATTGTGTGTGGATTTATTTAATGTCGTTAGACTTGGAATTAGAATTATTTTATTAATTGCATAATTTGCGGAATAATTTCCGCGTCTGACTCTTGAATGCCCGTTTTATATTATTTATTCATTTGATCAATTTTGATTGGGGTAAAACGCAAGACGGTACAACTTTTTTCTTGTACGAGTTATTCGCATATTTCTTTTCATGAATCTTTAGGGAAAAAAAACTGTTTGATAAAACTGATATTATGCTTAAACTGCAACCGCAACGTTAATTATGCATATAAAAAAAGGGATCCGCTATAATGTGCGATCAAATTTCGACCAGAACTTTTATCTTGATGAACTTTAATTAACGGATTTTTGCACTTTTTTCACGATTATTTCGCCATCGGTTGCTAAGTGTGCTCAACAATGGCAAGGCTAATGTTGCAATCATTAGTCAGGACACGCGCGGATTTTATTTACAGTAGAGGTCACTTTTTTAAGATCGAGATTTCGAACATTTTGGTCTTGAGTCTGCTACGCACGATTTCCACACATAACACCCGAATAAAGTCAAAAGTACGATAATCCATAGAGGATACTCTATCTAGTCTAACTAGAACACCGTTTACGTAATTGGCGTCGCACGGATAGTCCGAATAAACGCTTAATTAAAAGTCACGTGAAATTATACGAGCCTAAGGGAGCTAATAGATAGCATTCCTGACGACGTTGCGAAACCGACGCCGATGAAGAATGCAGCGAGGAATGTCATTTGTCGCCTCCACTTATTCAGTCCTGCATTTTTAATTAAAAGATGCACGCGCGAGTTTAATTTTATCATTTATTTCTATGATATTGTGCACACAGCTTCGCATATTGATTTATTCTTATTATTCTTTATTATCGTTTTTGTTAATCCTTAAACTATATTTATGAAACTACATTTATAAGTTCTAAAGCATCCTCTTTGAAATATAGAAGCAAATAAATCTTCACCTTATACAGCGATTGACAGAGGAAGATTCAAAGTTTTTTGACCTATAATTTAGTAGATATCTCGCAAAAAAACTTTAGGATTCGTAACTCATACACAAAAAGGATAGTTTTGTTGAAACTTTTAAAAATTTAGTTAGATGGAGAGCTGAAAATAACTTTATTGGACCATCAAAATAATTATGTAGGACGCTCTAACCGGTTCCTAAATTGTCAAAACTTTTTGCAGTTTGTCCATCATGCTTGAATTTTCTACATAATTATTTTGATAGTCCACCAAATTATTCTGAGATCTGTATCTAGCTACACTGTTAAAAATTTCATAAAATTTAATATACTTTTTTAAGTTACACAATTTGAACTTAATTTCATGACATTACATTAAATTTAATGTGTTTATAACTAAAAGTATATTTGTGTACACGTACGTGAAATTTAATGTATTTTTAATAAAAATTTATGAAATTTAATATACTTTTTATTAAAAATTAATTTTATTAAAAATATATTAAATTTCATAAATTTAATGTATACGTTCATTACATTTGAGTAACTACTATAACTTAATTTTCAGTTAAATTATTTATTACTTTTAATATCGTTCATAACTACGAGCTTTATTTACATATAAAGGAAGCTCGTGGTTACATTTCTAACAGTGTAAATTTTTATATACCGCTGCAAAGTCAGTCTTTCCGTGTAGTACCAATCGTACGGATTGTACAATCGTCTAAATATTTTCGTTTCTGGTTCAAATTACCTGTAGCTCTGATCGAAGGTTAATTATAAGAGATCTAATAATTCTTTCAATCTGACTTTAATTTCTGCATGATTAATGTATCAAGAACGTCGTGTACCTGTACGTGCCTTCGCGCAGCACGTGGCACGTACTTGCCAAACAATCGTGCGCTTCGGGAAGGAGAGAACGTTCCTGTTTAAGAGAAGGTAGACATGCCGGTTGTGCATGCGTAGCGTTGAAAGCGAGATCTAATCACTCTCGTTTCTTCTCACCAGACACGGTCTGCCCGCGGCCGCGAAACGGAGTGTCCTCCTCCGCGAGCGTGCGAGTCGCGTTCTTGATTTCTTTTTCCAGGAGGAAGCGGAATCTCATTGTCAGTCTCGCGGATCAACGAACGTTTCTTACAACAATCTCGCGTAATTAATGATTTCACGCCTTACGTCACAGCACCATGGAATTAATCGCTACGGAAGGAACCATTTTCACGAACATTGCCAAGCTACAGTTACATCGGCAACGATCGAGTAACGCAAGAGAGCGGATATAAAAAGAGAAAATCGGCGTTCGTAAAAGCAGGGCGGAATAAAACTTTCGTTTTCAATATTTGCGATCGTATATATGCTCGTATGTATGCATGAACCGAAACCGACGAGAATCGTATGTTGTATAATGTAAGTATGCGCTTATATAGCTCGCTATCGTTGACCCGAGAATTGCTAATCGTTCCAATTAGGCATCCTACCTCTAAAGTGGAAGAATTCGATCTCGTTTGGGAGAACGAATTGCCAGCATCTAGGAACTTAAACGTAGCCGCGGAGAAAATGCGGAAAACTAACAACTCCTAGTAGAATTGTTTGAGTTTTTGTTCATAACGATTATACTTTTCGAATAGTTGTGCGTATTGATTTTTCGTTGTCTCATTTTATTTATAGCTGCCTATATAACTATTATCGAGGCTTGCCTTACAGGTTTCGCGTTGCAGCTGGTCGATAACAAGCTCGTTAAGATCTCAAAAGTCAACGTAATCGAATGAAATAGACATGAAAAAGATGATTTTACTGAAGTATTTAAAAATTTAGCTATGTGTGCCAAATCTGAAAGTAATTTTGTTGAATCATCGAAATAATTGTGTAGGACGCTCAAATTAGTTACTAGAATTTCAAAACATTTTGCAATATTTTGCACACATCATGCTTGAGATTTCTATCTAATTACTTTAATGATCCAACAAAACTATTTTCAGATCTAGCTAAATTTTTTTATACTTCAGCAAAATTATTTTTTTCCTATAAAGACATTTTTATTAGATTCTTCTTTTTTTAATTATATTTCATATTCGACAAATCGATATAAGTTGTTATCATTATTGAACGAAAATTTATTTTAAAAAAAAAAGGAAAAATTAAAGTGCAACATAAAACTCTGCATTTTAATTAATACGTACAACACGTTCCACGTGTATATTGTAAAATCCTACATATTTCTATATGTCATAGTTTCATTATGTATTAAAATATAATTATTCAAAGGGGAATAAGAAAAAGACCTGTTACTTGTCGACTCAATTTACTCAAAGCAATTCGCCATTACTACGCGAGTTAACTCACTTTTGCATAACACGGTGCAATTATAGACTGATATATGCGACGATGTAGAGCCGAGGTTGCTTTCTGTTTCTTTGCTCTAACGGCTGATTTAATTTACGTCGCTTTCACGTGTGGGCAAAGCTGTTACTAATTGCGCGGAAATATTCGAAACGCTACGAGTTTCCTTCCGCTTGGAGTGCGTCGTTTCCTCGATCGTCTCGCGCGTATCAACGGGACTTTGCTGAAATCAAAGTTTTGATACACGCCGTTCGTTTCAAAGTCTCTTAAAAGGGAGGGGGGCAGGGCACTTTCACGCTGGGGAGAAAAGCAACGTTTCGATAAGTATTCGCGGTGAATAGTTCAAAGTAGGACGCCGCAAGTTGTTGCGTCGATCTCCATTAACTCTCCGTAGCATAAATTTTATATCACGCAGCGCGTTTCTTTCCTTCCCGATGTAAATCGATCATTCCGCGCGTAAAGGTGTCAAAATAACAGGAGAACTTAATTTTACTCTCCCGATATATTGTGACACATATTTGTTCAATCAATAAGGGCTACAGCACGTACAAAGTAAACACGGCGTAGCATAAAACCGTCTGACCGACCAATAATCATCTAGCATTAAGTTGCCTTATTAATTTACGTAACGTGCTCATTGATCCAGACAGTCGTATGCTATCTTGTATGCTACGGTCCTAAAAAATATCGAGAAGTACATAAACGTGTCATTATTGTGAAATTTGCTCGTTGCAGTAATGAAGCAGTTAACTAAATGTAGAGTAGGAAATAACTGAAAGTTTCTATTTATCAACTATCAATAATCATTCTAATGACGAAAGGGTTAATGATTCTCGCCGAGACAGATGTATAGAATTGCGAAACGTTCCAGCGGGAAATATTTTAAGTCCGTTTCGCAATTGTGGTTATCGTCTATCACTCGACGTCTCCCAAGACACCGTGTCAAATGGTGGAAAAACCGCACGAGCGATCCCGCCGATATGATAATAAAGATACATATGATATATGAACGTTACGTCCGGGTTGGCAGTTTATGTATGTTCTTGAGAGCGTACCGCCTGTAATTCCCTGAGTGAGTCCATCGAGCACGTAAAGGACATCCCCGACAATCATTGTTGGGTAACGAGTCCAGTCCTGAGAAAAGGTTACGTTCGTGCCGTCTTGATTTTTATGGTTTCGTTCGAGGCAATAATCCATTTTTTTTGTGTCTTCCCTTACTACATTATTGCAACATTCCATATATATAACATATCGCATATATTGAGATCCTTTTTTTTTACTCTTTAAACAAAACAAGTTTTTTTTTTAAGTCCTACACTATTTTCATCTTTATTTTCTCTATCGTTACATAAAAATATAAAATGTAGGTTCTTACGTTGTTAGATTAATATACGTCTAATTAAATCGGGCTGAAATTAATATAAGCAACCTTGATGATAAATTACTCTTTGAAAGAATCTACCGTAAGAGGAAAAAGATTTGTAAAGCTTACAAGTTGCGCGTGCTTCCGAGTGACACTCATGTTATTAATCGAATGTATTAATTACTATTCGATGCATTGAGTATGAATAAAGTATCGTCTCAAATCCGCGATGACTGTCATTGTAAACAAATTAAATCATAAAACGCATAAATATTCTAATATAATGTGTAAAACCTTGAAGACACCAATTATCATGTAACGTTGCAGTATAAGCAATAATGATATTACGAAGACTGCATTTATGATGCCAAAGGCTGTGCGTCCCGTTTGAGATATATCGCGAATTGAAATCGCCATTTTAACTGCCACGATTGCCTCACTGTTCTCCATTACGCAATCTTGCTCCATCGTGCCCGCATCTGCAAAGAGGGTTGACTCCATATCAGACACATTAGAGTTCACAACTGCTAATTATCGTTTTTTCGATCTCAGGTTAATAGCTGTTATTATAATAAATATTTCTAACATCCAACGTGAAAATCTGTTAACGTGAATTCCTAGAAAATGAAACATGTTCTTTAGCTCCTCTTATATTTCTCTCTTATATTTATCTCTTATTAATGACATTTCTTAAATATACTACGATAATATAAGTACAGTTTTAAAAAGAAACTACTGATTGTGTGAGAAATATTTCTTTGATTTATTAGAAATACGCAGCGATAGTGAATTATAATGGATTGAGTAATGATTATAAATAAAAATCCCGATTCGCTATAATAACTCACGTGAATTTTTACAAAGACATGGGCGTATTCAGTGGGGAACTAAGGGATTCAAGCCCTTTCCTTGAAATTTTCTAATTTTTAATTATAAAGAATACAGCTTTTTCTCTTCGACTGCAAGTAAATTTTTCGTTCTCACATAAAATTTCTTCTCCTTACGACATATAAATAATTTCTGGAATTTTTGTTAATTATAGAGCTTTGACAAGAGAAAGTATTCTCTCTAAAAGTATTCTCTCTTCTTTAGAGTGAATGTCAAGAGTACTCCATTTGATCAAATAGAGGTAACGCCCTCGGTTAAAATTGTTATTTATATAATAACAGAATTATTGATAAATCTTCTTCCACCTAAAAAAATACATCCATGATGAAAGATCAGTCGTTTTCGTCCTCTTTGTTGTCGTCGCAGTCATTTAATACATTATTTCTAGGAACTTTCATGCAAAAATCTGCAATTCAGAAAGCCAAGACCCTGATTACACATCATATAATGCATCAACGATGTAGGTGACGGTTAAAAACGTCATTGCCAGCGGAAAATTACGGCTCGTAGACTTTTAAGCACTAAGTCATCTGGATCAGCTGTGCGCGTCCGCTTCGCATCGAATGTACGCTTGACGATTGCAAAAGTGAATTGGCGATTTCTTGAACGTCGAAAGTCCTTTCGCGAGACTGTGAATCGCGAACGCGACTTCGATGGTGACTCTCGCCTGATCGACGTTTCATGGAAGAGAGAACGTCGTACCGGTGCGACGGACGCGGTGTCTTAAGAATCACGGGCATTGATCTGTATACAAAAATCTGTCAACTAATCCGCCCTATTACAAATAAAAACGATCAAAGCCATTAATTAACTCGCGCGTCAAGCATAACGAACGAGAAGAATCAGAAAAGCGAAATCGCGACGTCGTCGCTCTCGATGAGTTTATGTCTCGACTAATTTATGCGGATTATAAACTTTCATCGCTCAATTCAGAGATATAAATGTATCTTTATGTATGCAGCACTTGACAGCTTTTTCATTTTTTTTTTCATTTTTGTTATAGCTATATAATAGTACGGTTGCGAAATGATAATGACTCCCTCATAAAGTCATCGGTTTCAAGTAGCCTCTTCTCACTTTATCGCCGTGTTTTGCACCATGTTTACTGGAATACATAATGAAGACGTGTTATAAAATCGAGAATGAAGGGTGTAGGATAATATACTAGATAATATGCTAGAACTATTATCATTGTATTTCTACTTAGAAAGAGAAAAAAAAGACAATCCGCGATCATAATGTGCAAAATAACGTATACCACCGCGTGATACAATTATCCCAATTCTGGCAGAAATCAAAATCGGAGCGTAAATCCGATATAAGGAAAGAGTAAACAAAGCTTCTAGGATGCGAAAATTGGAACAATGAGATTGGAAAAACGCGTAAACACCTCTTTTCATTGTTTCAATTCTCGCCTTTTATTACTCTCTCCTTACATTCGCCATACGCTCTGATTTTTATTTTCGCCAGGGAAATAGAACACAAAAATATAATATCATAATCAGGACATATCAGGACATATCAGGACATTATCATGATATTAGTTAGATACTTTTAAGTTCATTTTTACTACCCTTACCCTACAAGGGTACAATTTAGTGCTTCAGCCATACAAACGGGGGCTAGAGAACCCGTTTTTTTTTTTCACCTATTCAGAATGATTCGAGAAATCTCTAAAAATTCACCAACATATTATATTGTACTTTCAACTTCCTAGAATAAATGTTGGAACTTTAGTTTTTGGAAAATATTAAAATATAGTATAATTTATAATTAGCGAAAGACTCGAAGAAATTTGCACGAACAGGAATCACTGGTGACCCCCGTCTTGTAGGGTAAGGGTATTAAGTATCAACTGACGTCATGATGACAATCTGTAATATCATTGTGACTTACTTGTAGCTGTGTTCTATCTGTTCTTCTATTAGTTAGAGAAACACCGCGAAGTGTCGGGTTTTACGAGCAGCCACGCCGGTATATATCCTGTCAATAGAAAAAGAATTTACTTTCAATCGCGCCGTAGCATTGAGACACGGCGCTCACGTGGAACACCACGTGAAAACACCACGTTGGTGGCGGGAACGGCCCCTTCTAAAGAACGACGGCTCACCTGCAATTAGGGATTACGATCGTGGATGTCTGACATTATAGCGAAAAGGGGAATCTCCTCAGGTGCGATGGACGATTTGTGACTCTTCTTCGTGCGATACTTTTGCAGCCTCGATCGGACGAGCGTGCTTCTCTCTCTCTCTTTCTCTTACGCAACGAACCGCCCGATCTAAAGATGTTTATTCGCGATATGAATCTTCTCGCGAGGCAGCACAGCACGGTCTCTTGTACGTGCCTGCACAACTGTCCATAGTTTGGGTTTTTTTTTTTACGGAGATACTTCTCCGATAGAATACAGATTTTTTTCAGTTATTAATAATCGCGATGTCATCTGTTTTCGGGATTCAGCACGTTTGTTTATTTTGCGAAATGTCCATCCATGATATCTTCATTCTTACAATTAAATCTGTTCCTTTTAGCTGAGAACTTCTTGCACCATTCATCTTCCCTCTTTTTCTCTCTATATTAGAGAGAAAAGAAAGAATGACGTGATAAATCAGCATTTGGACATCGGATTTAGTTGCAGAGTGTCAAAATACATAAGAATGCCATAGTTTAATCTCCGAATCAAAAAATTGTTTTTGTGTGCCTGTGTGTTGTTATATTTCGATTCCAATTATTATTTATTAATCCTCTTATAACTTCGTCTACACGCGGCCATTCATTGTTTCCTTGGCAGCGATTCATTACTCTGTTCATGAATATAATGGGAAAAAGATTAACTTTAATTTTTTTTAATTGTCATTCTCGATACTTGCAATAAATGATCGCGTTTATATATACATA